CTTTGCCAAAGGTGGCTCAAAAATGTCTTCCCTAGTCTGTCTATCCTAACGATACCCCTTCCCGCCTTTTCAATCCACCTCCTATGCCCGACTACAGCTACCGTCCTTTCTTCTCTATTCCATGCCTCAAACATCTCCCTGTACATCCCATATATTTTTCCCAGCTCAATCACGTACACTTCCCTCCCCTTGTACAACGGACATTCCACGACTACATGTACACGGTCTTCGCATTGGAAGCCGCAATCACATTTGAACTCGTCGACTTCGTCGTCTACCGTCCTATGTCTTCGTCGGCGTTCTCGAAGGCCTATGTCCCCGGTCCTGAATTTGACCTTAAGCTTTGTTCCTGCATCCATTGGTCCATGTAGGTAGTCCTTGAACCCTATTCCTTCCTTCAACAATCCGTACACTTCTAGACCCTCCTTATCCTTGGTTTCTTTCTTTAGATTCTGTTCTCCTCTCACGGCACAAGCAACAGATATCTTCTCCTTGAACCCCTGTAGACCCTCCGTTTCCAGCGTTTCATCTTCGTCGATGTCGAGCCCCTTCCATACGTCCTCTACAACCTTGACCCATTCCGTGGGTTGTCTACCCCTCTTTTTGTTTGCCCACTTCGCCTCCCATACAATTCTCGGCAACCTCTCCTCTCCCATCCCGCACATGCGATACTGCCAGGTCAGCTTCCTCGCGTCTCTTCCCGACCGTAGGGATTGGATCCCCAATTCTGCCCTCACGGCTGCATTACTTGTGCGCCTGGAGCATCCTAGGATGGTTTTCGCTGCTTTCATCTGCGCCGCCTCGAGTTCTTTCACTACCTTCTTATTTCCTTCCCATACTTCTCCGGCGTACTCTAGCGGCGGTACGATTACGCTCTTCAAAACCGTCAATTTGATGCGTGTATCGAGGTGCCGGTTTGCGAGTATTGGGTGCAGCTTCCCTGCTCGTGCTTTGCCCTTTTCCGCTACCTTGGACATGTGTGCATTCCACGAGCAGTCTTTTGCGATCTCTACTCCAAGGTATGTGTACTGGTCCACTACTGCAATCTCCTCGATCCCCCACTTCCATCTATGTTCTACTGGTTCCTCCTTGTTCTCGTTGCATACCATGACGGCACTCTTCCTAGCGTTGGCAGACAATCTCCACTTGTCAGTAAACTTTTTCGCCGCGTCAATTTGCAGTTGCAGTCCCTCAGGGGTNCGAGTGCATTCCACGAGCAGTCTGTTGCGATCTCTACTCCGAGGTATGTGTACTGGCCCACTACTGCAATCTCCTCGATCCCCCACTTTCATAAATGTTCTACTGGTTCCTCCTTGTTTTCGTTGCATACCATGACGGCACTCTTCCTAGCGTTGGCAGACAATCTCCACTTGTCAGTAAACTTTTTCGCCGCGTCAATTTGCAGTTGCAGTCCCTCAGGGGTGTCCGACATACCGACAAAATCATCCGCAAACACCATTCCTGTAACCGACGTTTCCGTGTCCCCGACTTTTACTCCCTTCCGGACTGCCTCTACGACTTCCAACAGATCGTTGATGAACACCTGGAACAATGTTGGGGACAGCGTGCAACCTTGTGGGACCCCCTGCTCAATGTCGAAGAATTTTGACAGTTCTCTCCGTCTAACATGACTGCGCTTTTCGTACACTCTGTCATCTTTCAGTACTCTCCACATTTTCCCCTTGATCCCGTATTTGGACAGTTGTTTCCACAACCCATTTCTCCA